GAACGTATATACGCACAGCTAACGGAAAACCGTAGTCTATTGTAAAGCCGTGCACGCGTAACCCTGACGCAACGAGGAGACGACTTAGGACGCCACGCAACGGTGGCATCTGCATTTTTTTTTCTTCTAAACAAGGTCTACATTACTTTCGTTATGATCTAACGGAACAAAGAAAAAAAAAAAAGGATCTCGCATCATCGAAAGAGATATATTTTTTCGTCTTGTACACGAACAACGTTAAGAAGAAGAGAAATAAGAAGAAGAATAAGAAGAATAAGAAGAAGAAACAACGACGAAGACGAGTTTCCAACGACGCGGTCCTTTACCACGTTTACCGCTCCCTAGGGACCCTTTTCCACTTTTCTTCTACTTCTACTACTTCTTTTTCTTCTACGTATTCTCATCCTCCTTCTTTCCTCCTTTCTCTTTTACGTCTTCTTACTTTTCGCGTCTCTCTCTCTCTCTCTCTCTCTCTCTCTCTTTTTCCGACGGCACTTCTGCGATCGAGAAAGCGTCGATAACCTCGCCAATACGTGACCCTCCTTACTCGATCAGACTTATCGCGCTATCAGAGATTTTACTCTCGTACGAATCTTATTCGACGGCGAATTACCGCGCTGGGATTATTGCAAAAGATCGAGGGGAGAAATAAAAAGATCGCTAGAGAAAACGAGATCCGCGATCCTCGATCGCGATTCTTAACGAGTTAACCGAGTTTTTCCATGATCGAACATCCGGTAATTGAGATTCCGAGCTCGATGACCGGAAGATTATTGTCTCTTCTCGTTTTCCATCTCACGAGGTTCACATTTTTTTGTCATCTATCATACCTGCAGGACTTACGTAAATTTTCATGCGAGGGTTTTTCAATGACAGGGACGATTGGAAACGCCCTGGGATCTCATTGATTAGGTTTATTTTTTTTTTGTTCTTTTTTGCTTTTATTAAATACTTAGTGATTACTATTCGTCGATCGTATTATCTTCCATTGTTAAAGTAATTCGATCGGTCTATCGATCGATCGTGTGACAACAACGATTGGCCCTTGAGGTTTTTGATTATTCGCGGTTGTTTTAGTAACGTGAATCGGGAGAGTCAATGACTTCTTCGTTTGGTGGTGGTAGGTCATGTTTCTCTGTTTAAATTCCTCTGGCCGGCTCTCGCCCTCTTTGAATTTTCGCATATTTAGCCTTAGGCTTGACTTTAATACGAGCTTTTAACAGTAACCATTTTCCATCCAACCAACCCCCTATTCTCAAATGCAATTATATTAAGAATAGCGGGAGCATCGTTGAAAAAAAAATAAAAAAATAAAATAAAATAAAAAAGAAAGAAAGAAAAGGAAAGAGAAAAAAAAGAAAAAGAAAAAGGTGGGAGAAAGAAAACGCGCGAGTTTTATTTCAAGCAAATTGTGGAAGGTTGCTTTTATGCCGTTGCTTTTACCATGAATACGCGATCATCGAAAGGAGAGTAGTAGGAGGAGGAGGAGGAGGTAGTCGTAAATTCTTTTTCGCTGCCGAAACGAGAAACTCTTTTCCTCATCGTATGACGTAACTTTAATATATTCCCTTTTATTCGTACCTTTGGAGAAAAACTTCAATATCGTAGAACTCGTTTTCGAGAACGGTGTCGATTAACATCGAGTATTCCTCCTTCTACCATAGAAATTCTCGGTATTGCTGATCGACGACGTTATCTGTGATATTGGGCGATTCCTTTATCGATCGTTAATGTCTGTTCTTCGTGTGAATCTTCAAGATCTTTGAATAGGCTGGAGAAAGTAATAATCTTCGGAAATATAATATATGCGAGTACAAGATGAGTTCTATTAACGAACGATCATCTAGGAGTGGGGGGGGGGAGGGAGTAGAGGATAATAGAGATGGTAATGTAATAAAGATATTTCGCGACGTTTACATACGAGATCTAATAAAATATTCGAAAATATTATCGATAGAGTGTTTCATCGTAAGAAAGATTGGATAGGAAAATTGGACTCGATGTAAGATCAACTATTACCTATATCCCGTTGACGAAAGGAGGATCGATATATATATATATACACTATAATACGATAGCAGAGATCGAACTTTCAAAAGGTCTACTGCTGCTTCTGCTTCTGCTACTGCTGCTGCTACTGCTGCTGCTATTTGAAAAAGTATCGACGTAATAGCAAGGGTGGACTATCGAATTATAAAACTTCTTGAGAGAAGGCAGAGGTCGATTCGAGAATAGGTTGCCTCCTCTCTGGGAAGAGGTCCTTCAGAAGCGAGAGAACGATATCGCTCGTTTTCTAAGAAAGATCAAGTAAAGACGAGAGGAGATTTAGTACGAGAAAAAACGATAGGAAGAGATACAGAAAGAGAGATAGAGAAAGAGACAGAGAGAGAGAGAGAGAGAGAGAGAGAGAGAGAGAGAGATGAAGAGGAAAAGTATTGCAATTAATCATTTAGTGCTTTTATTCGATTACGCGTTGCAAGACGGTGCGAGAGAAGGTACAAGAAAGTCGATGGAATGAGGTCACCGCAAACGACCATGGCAAGGTTCATCGATCAATGTTCCAGGACGATCTTAAAGGATTTTTAAAAGATGAACGGACTTGCTGGACGGATAGACGAAATTATTTGTCGCCGTGATGTTGTTGCGCAAGTCCTCGCTTTTTCGAGAAACCAGGATCGGGTTAGGAGGATGAAAGGATCTGTTTGCGAAGAAGAGGGAACGCGCTTCGTCGAGTCCTAATTCGGTTGGTCGGATCGTTAGGGCGGTATTCAAGTGCGAGTCGCATTCAAACTGACTCTCTCTTCTTGCTATTGCTTTCTCATTCTCTCTCTCTCTCTCTCTCTCTCTCTCTCTCTCTCTCTCTCTCTCTTTCCTTTGCCGTTACTCTTTCTTTCTCGTGGCCCTCGTGTACGTCGTCCTCAGGGAAAAACTGTCATCCTTCCTCTTTATCTTTCTCTCTTTCTCTCTTTCTCTCTCTCTCTTTCTCTCTCTCTCTCTCTCTCTCTCTTTTTCTCTTTCTCTTTTAGCCCGCTATTTCTTTTGCTTTATATCTCTTCCCTTGTTCTACTCCCTAGCCGCACTTCACTATACTTCTTTTCGAGTTTTCTCGCGCACGAAAGGTCGTCGCGATCCTGAAGAGAGAGAGAAAGAGAGAAAGAGAGAGAGAGAGAGCTAAGGGACCAGAGAACAAGTTTCCTTGGCCCATCGAGTTTGCTTACCATTTCGTTTTTTCTCCCTTATACTTACCGACTTTTCTTTTTTCTTTTTTTTTTCTTTTTTTCTCATTCTTATCCAAACTTTTTTTTTTCGTCCTATCCTCTTGCTTGCTCGCTTGCTTGCTCGCTTGCTTTCTTGCCCGCCGAACAAACCATTGACAAGATTCGCAACAGCGAAAACAACAATCCTCAAACGTCCGATCTTTTCTCTCTCGAGCATCGAATCGAGAAAAGAAGAAGAAGAAGAAGGAGCGTGTGTGTGTGTGAGAGAGAGAAAGATAAAGGAACCGTAAAGAAACTTGGAAACTCGTCTTTGTTATTGGAAGAGAAAAGAAGAAAATAAAATAAAATAAAAGTTATTTTCAACGATTGAGCTCTACGAACGTTGGTTGTCTCTCGATTTCGCAGATCGAAGAAGAAATTCGACAATTTTAAAGTGACCGGTGATGATGATGATGATGATGATGATGATGATGATAATGATGATGATCGTGCGGAGATGAACGAACATAATACTTACTGAAAAAAAAAAGATCGAAAAGAAAAAGGGAGAAAGACTGTTGTTTCGTCTCTTTTTACCGTGTTCGGAGGGTGAAGAAAAAAGGAAAAAAAAACAAAAAGAAAAAGTCTCTTTTGGTTGTTAAACCTCGTCGCGTGGAAAACTGTAAATGGGAATGGAATAGAGTGATGATGATGGATAGTAATTTGTGATTATCAGTGACGAACGCGAGATAATTATTCGTTTTATTTACGCCGATATCGATTCGTGTTTTATCCGTTATTAAAAATATGCCGATCGAGTAACGGGGAAAGTTGATAAGGGAAGAAAGAAAAAAAAAGAAGAAGAAGAAGAAAAATAAGAAGAAAAAGAAGCAAACTTATTTCCCGGAGTGTGTATTTTTTTTCTTATTTCGTTATTCCCTTATCTTTCCATCTGTTTCTTTCTCTTTCTCGCTCACTCTCACTCTCATTCTCCATCTTTCCGTAACACCTTTCCTCTCTCCCTCCTGGGTTTGGTTTCTTGTGCGCGCGCGACGTCGACGTCGACGACGACGACGACGACGACGAGTACGACACGTCGGAAGGGAGAGAAGAAAAGCTCCCCTTTTTGCGAGAAGAAGACGCGCCGTTGGGAAAGCGTGCGGGCTTTTAGGTCCGCGCGCGTTACATCGTCCGGGATCGTGCGAGAAACTCGCCAAGAAGCTGGAGAACCAAAGACGAGGAAAGACGACGGATTCAAGGTGGAAAGAAAGATGCGGTGTCCTTCCCTCGCCGTTTTCGTCGCCGTCCTAACGACCATACGAGCTCAAGGTCAGTCGTTTTCTTCCTCTATCTCTCTTTTTTTCTTTCTTTCTTTCTTTTTTTCTTTCATTTATACATTTTCGATCTTCCTTTTTACGATACGCGTACCCATCCCCAATTTTTTTCTTTTTTATACTTGCCTACTTTTATACTTTTACATTAGACCCGTTTATCTCCTTAATTATTAGTTAACTCGTTACTTATACTTATACTTTTTCTTCTTCTTCTTCTTATTATTCTTCTTCTTCTTCTTCTTTTTGTTCTTTTTCTTTTTTTATCTCTCTTCCTACCCTTTCCATTTTCTTCTCTTTAATACTACTAACGTTCGTTTTCCATCGCGTCTTTCTTTCACGAACGATGAAACTATTCTCCATCCATTGTTCTCGGTAAATCGGATCAAAGTATTCAACCACCGCGCAAAGTTTTATCTTTTACCCGATTTCGCGGCTCTTATTCTTCTTTTCGACTCACTAGCCAGATAAAATATATTATATATATATATATATATATATATATATATATATATATTTATATGTGCATTTTTAAAGATATCAACAATTTTGTTCACATGAACGTAAATCTTCTTAGTTCTTCTCGATACTGATATCAATTTATTAATANATATATATATATATATATTTATATGTGCATTTTTATTGTATTTCAATGTATATATTTTTCTTATACTGTTGGTTGTTCTTTAACACCATAGCATTCCGTTTTTTGTGACAATTATGCCGTATTTTTTTCTCTCTCTCTCTCTCTCTCTCCTTTTCTTTTTCTCTTTTGATAGAAATTCGCGCGTCGAAATTCAAATACATGGCTTTTCTGGTATCCCCGAGAAAGAGCATTGTCGAGGTATGTCCATTAATCATGACGGTGCTCTGAACGTCCTAAAAACAACAATATTATTTTACCGAAGTTATGCCCCGCCCCGAAGCTTTTTTAAGCTAACGAACTTTCCATGCAGAGCTTCGGTTATCCGTCATGCGAAACAGATTCCTCCGTACTTTTTACCCGTTCCTTTTTTCCGTGATTTTCACTCGAGAAAAACAAACGTTCGCTTTTCCTCCTTTCTATCTCTCTCTCTCTCTCTCTTTCTCTCTCTTTCTATCTTTCTATCTTTCTATCTCTATCTCTATCTCTCTCTCTCTCTTAAGCAGAAACGATTAAGCCTCGTGTTACTACTTCAACGTGTAATTCCGTTCGTCGTTTCATACGTATTTCTGGCACGATGTATATTTTATTTTCAATAAAGCTCGTTAAGTTTTTCTATTCGACGTATATTACTGTTAACGTTTTCATTTTCTACCTATTTAAGATAATACAGATGCGTTTTTTATTTAAAGATTAAAGAAAGGGAGAGAGAGAGAGAGAGAGAGAGAGAGAGAGAGAGAGAGAGGAAAAGGGGTATGAAAGAAGAGTACCTGATTAATAAAAATGATTATTAAGAACTCTGCTTTCTAGTGCGTGTTAATTTTTTGCAATCTCTGAAATATAAGCCTTTGGATACGATAGTGTCAACGAAAAGGTTTTCGGAATATATATATTATATATATTTTATATACATATGTGTATGTGTGTCTCTCTGTGTGAGCGAGTGTATGTGTGTGTATATGTGGAGACCCAGGTCGTATGTGCGTCATCGTGAATACGTTTCTTTGCTCTTTCGGATTACTTTTTTTCCACGCAGGCAGAAAAATAGAAAAGAAAGAAATAAAGAAGAGGAGGAGAGAATATAGAGAAAACAAGAAAAAAAGAAAAAATTGTATACGCCAACTCGACGAAGCTTTAAACGACCGAATCCTAGGTTATTCTTCATACATTCGTATATACGTGGCACGTTTCCTCGACGTACATGACTTTTACGCTTCGAAACATATGCGTCGGTATAACAAAACTCGGTGCAAACGCGTTTTCACTCTCTCGATCCGTCCTCACCTAATCTCCACTACCTTTTACCACTTTTTGACGCGTCAATTTGAACTCCTGCTTGCAACCGTTAGCACAATTCTACACGAGAACAAATTTGTAAGCACACATATAGATAAACATATACACATACGTGATCATTATGATCACTACGTATACATAATTATTTATATTTTTATATATATATGTATATAACGTACACGTGTATATTATTCTTCAGAAAAAAGTGATATTTGATTTGTTTTATTTTTTGCTTTTTTTTTCGTTGTTGTACATCTCAACGAACAACGTTTGCTATTAATCGTAATACTGTTTTCTGCATGTGCACTGTTATTACACGTTTGTTACTTATTGACTTGTATTCAATTATTTGCGTGTTATTTGTTGAGCTTAATATATGAGAAAAAAATAACAAAAAATAAATGACAAACAACAAACATTTCCCTTATAAAGAAAGGAAAATTAAAAAAAAAACGTACGTGCGCCGATGATATTCTTCGTACGATGATATATAACGATAACCTATTATAAAGTCTACGTATCGAACAACAACGTTTTTAGTCCCATAATACGGTGGACTTTAATAAACGTGCTGAACTTTAAATCTCAATCGCATGCCATGGTTATGGTATAATATTCGCCGGTATCCGCGAGTATATACCAACAAAATTTCTTTCAAAAAATATACTTCGTTTTGTGAGCCAACGACCAAGAGCAATAGGGGATTTTCCAAGCGTGAGAGAAAAATATAATCTACGAAAATTGTGACTTGTGAAAAAGAAATAATAAACAGGGAACATCGCGAATTATTAAACCGATGTCCCAAACGTTTCCGACATTATCAAAAACAAATCGTATGAATGATTGATGGAAGAAGATATTCATAGATGATAACAGTCAATATATAATGATTTGAAAAAAAGAACGCGTTATCATCGAAAATTTGTATTATTCTCAGAAACTGTGATTCGGTGATTATTAATCGGCGATAGTAAGAATGAAGATCGTGTAACGTACGAGAAAGTAAACATAATAATATCTTCTTAAAAATTTGAGAAGATCGGTGAGAGGAGTCAAGATCGTGCGACCTACACTAGGTCACAATTCTTCCTTTTATGTAATCGGATTGATGGCACGCGTTGCAGAGTGAGGAAGAAAGTGGTATGTAAGCACGTGCAATAAAATCGGTCAGGCGTGCTTTCGAGAATTACGAGTTCCCCTTCCGGCAATAGGGGAAGCTTTGTCTCCTTCGATTCACTTGGATCATGCGGTGTTATGTTCGCCATACGGACTACGACAGCCGGTGGTTGGTGTCAGGTTCGCGATTTTCTTCCTTACCAATGGCACGTGCCTCTTTTTACGGTCTTCTTCCCTTCTCTTCCCTTCCTTTCCCTTCCCTTTCACTTTTTCATTTCTTCCCTTCTTTAAATATACCTGATTCTCTTTCTACCTTGCTTTTTTTTTTTAATAAATATATTCTTATTAGCTTAGCATGGGTTACCGGTTGGATTTTGTCGAAAATCAAATTAGTATTCCCTATTTGTATACGTGTTGTTTAATTAAACAAATATATTACCGATGATCACGTGTAGATAATTATCATTATTAAATAAACATTTAATTGGACTAATTTTTGATAAAGAAAAACGAAATAAAAATAACGCGAGTCGTAGGTATAGATTGAAATTATAATAAGGTGTTCACGGTTCAAGTGAAAAATATTTTTAACAAGCAAGTAGTGAAAATAGTCACGTTAGTGTTTCATCGTTATAACAGCTGCCTTATTCTATATTCTTTCTTATCGAGACAACGCTACGTTTAATAAGAGTTTGATAAGCGATGTAGTAATACGATGAAGTGATTCTTCAAAGGTAGAAACTTTGTCATTTGAAAGAGGATGATGAAGGAGGGTGGGAGGAAGAGAGGAGGGGCTGTTGAATGTTGCCGTAAGAATCGCTAGCTTACGAGTAACAGCACGGGGAGTCTTATTAAACCTTTCAAGTACGGAAGCACAAAGTTTCGCTTAGATTCGTCGGATACAACGTCGGATGGAAGCAACGTTATTTAGCTTTATTTGGTTAAACGGCGAATTACGTTTTCGATTTTTTGTTTTTTTTTTCACTTTCGACAAACTTTTTTCATAAATAATTACATACCAGGATTAATCGTTACAAAACTTTAGGGTTAAATTAAAAAGGGAAATGATATTGAATGGTGGAATATTTTCAGTTGGAGTAAAAAAAAAAAAAGTAAAGAAAAAAAAAGGAAGAAAAGGACATATGGTTATGAAACAGGGCGACGAGGAGAGTATCTACTTCAAAAACGTTTATGTCCACCACTGTGTGTTAATAAATTGCGATGAGATGCTCGTCGACCGGTACTTGAGCTTGTTGCGTATCCTCTCAGCAATGAAATTCCGTGTCGAGTGATACTCACAGTCAAAATGTCATGGATTAAAAAAGAAGAACAAATAGTTTTGTATCATAAAGAGAAAAAGAGATAGATGGATAGATAGATAGATAGAGAAAGAGAGAGAGAGAGAGAAAGAGAAAGAGGGAGATAACGGTAATCGTAAATAGTCCCTTAATTCGAGAAATAAAATTGCACGCTCGTACGAGCAACGCGCTATTATGTTACGGAGCATTGGGCGTCACATAGCACGTGACCCCACTGCGGTTTCCAGGGTTAATTGTATCGATTCGATATAGCCTCGATGTACCATGAATTTTCTCTCTCGTATCGTGGGGGACGTTTGGGATTATCTCGATTGGTCCCGATAACTTTTGCATCCGGTAGGAAAGCGCGATTTGTGCTAGATCGCAAAGAGAATTTCGTATCCTACGAGAGATATTTGTGTGTGCCTGCTTGCTTGCCTGTCCTGCGTGTGTGCGTGCGTGCATGCGTGTGTGTTACTCTTTTGCTTCAAAGTTCAAACCGGGATTTTGTCTATTTCTATAATTCGTTATTAAATTTTTTCATTATTCCCTCATTCGTATGAAGAATTGATCTATGAATGAAAACTTAACTCTAAATCGTTCTGATTGTCCAAATAATTAATTGTGAGTTATACGTTCATC